AAATTATGGTCAAGTTTAAAATACTCTAAAATTAGGCAAATATTTCTCGCGGAAAAAGGGCTTGGAATCGTTCTTTGGAAAAACGATAGGATATCAACCCCCCGGATTTTATTGTTTCAGATTCAAATTTCATAATAACAATCTCAGTGCGTATAATATAACAATCTTTTGCGATTTTTCCTGCGCATATGCGTTGCCGAATCGCAATAAGAACCAGACAGAATGAAGCGCACAATAATGTAGATGAATGTCCTTCTTTGTGGTATCTGCTGGTTTAATACAGTTGCTGTGGTTGAAGGATTTACGCAGACTAACGCTGTTTCAGCTCGAATCTGAAACTGAATCTGAATCTACATGAAATTTGAATCTTAACGAAAAATATCCGGGGGCGGCTGACATCCTATCGTCCTTCCATAACACGATTCCAAACCCTTTTCTGCGAAAAGTACAGGGCCGTTTTTGAGCATATCAACATTTAGTCATCACTCCTAGTCAGCTAGTGAACATTTGTTGTGAAGACAAATTATACTTGGTCAGTATATCAGTCTAAACGAACTTTTGGGAAAGTATTAATGCCCGCCCGGATTTTTGAATTCAACACATGTTGTGTTTAGCGATTTTTCCTGCCCAAACAACAAGTTGTCCGACGATAAAAAATGCGTTATAGGATTCTATGATAGTCGGTGATGAATGTCTTTGGCAAAAGAATCTTGCAAATTTAAAACATGCCGCGTGAGAAACATTTCTTCGCTTCACTTTGCAGTTGACCTTTGCTTCATGTTGTAAAATCTACAACTCGTCTGTTGTGTTTTGCGATTTTTCCTGAGCTACACAAAAGTGTTTCAAACTCTTACGCTTCTTCATATCATCGGATTTAATGCATTAAAAGATGTCCTCCTTGAAAAGGTTTGATAGCGCGCCTTTATCTATCAAAAAATGAGGACTAATACAACAACAACTGTTTGACAAGCCATGTCTGCATGTGCAAGAGCAGTCTAAAATAACAATCTTTTGCGATTTTTCCTGCGGACATGGTTTGCTAAATCGCAATCAAAACCACACAGAATGAAGCGCACAGTAATGTAGATGAATGTCTTTCTTTGCACTATATCTGCCGGTTTATACAGTTGCTGTGGTTGAAGGATTTACGCAGACTAACGCTGTTTCAGCTCGAATCTGAAACTGAATCTGAAACTACATGAAATTTGAATCTTAAACAAAACTATCCGGGGGGCTGACATCTTATCGTTTTTTCATAAAACGATTCCAAGACCTTTTTTGCAAAAGGTATTGGGCTGCTTTTGACATAATTCAAACTTCAGCATAATTTACAGTCAACTGGCTAAGATTCAGTGTGAAGACAAACAAAACATCGCTTATATCAGACTAAACGAACTGTGATGATAGTCTCAATGCCCACCCGGATTTTCGATTCCAACACTGGTTGTGCTTTTCGATTTTTCCTGCCGAAACAACAAGCTGTTTGAAAATAACAAGTGCGTTGTATCATTTTGTGATAGTTGTAGATGAATGTCTTTCGCAGACGAATATTCCAAACTAAGCGTGCGACGCGTGAGAAATGTTTATTCTCTCAGCTGCGTTGTTGACGTTCGCTTCAGGTTACAAAAGCCGTATCTCATGATCTATGATTTGCGATGTTTCCTGAGAAAACAACTAACGTTTTTAAGACCTAGTTTGCTTTATACGATTTACTACAGTGTACTAATGAATGTCTTTCAGAAATTAGGGAACTACACGCGTATTTTACGATACAAAGCGAAATATAAGTTTGTCGACAGGTCAAGACAAGCATGGCGCAGTACGAATTCACGCGTTGGCCGTGTAGGTTCTGCGATTTTTCCTGGCTTCACCTTATGAGCTAAAAATTAAAGTATAGTTTTGTCAAATGCGCAATAGTCTGATAAAGGATGTCCTTGATGAATTACGTTTATTCCGTGAAAAGAGACTGAGCAATTCCACATTTTGTACCCCCGTTTCATATTCAAATCTGAATCTGAATCTGAATATGAATCTGAAACTTGAATCTGAAACTGTAGAGCGGATCGTTTTGCAAAAACGTTTTGCAGATAATACACAGGGAGCCCATCCCATGTCTTATTGAAAGCAAATATTGAATGTACATAGTAGTATTTATATAGCTCAGTGCTTGAGTGCTAAATATAAGGGCGCGCGGCCTGCATGTTACGAGAGCCGTGAACGACGACAGACAAAATTTTAGAACCTCAAGAAATGCGGGAAAAGACTAGACTTGAATATGCCTTTCTTGGATCCTAGGCCGGGGGAGGAGTATTTTCTTTGAAAGCACTGTTATTAAATTTTGACACGTACAGCTGTTAGGCATTAACTGTGCTTTACAGCCTACACGTTAAAGGTGCTCTACAGTCCGATCTGCGCATGTGCACAAAGGAGCCCACTTTTTATGATACAAACTGTTGAACTATGTTTTGGGTTCTTGAAAAGCCTGATTGTTGTTTCTTGATCATTTATCATACTCTAGAAGCTTGAAAATATAAATAGTTGTCGAATAAAGCTCAATATTTTGGACACAAAAATGCCACAAAGGCTTTGTTTACATACGGACTGTAGAATTTATTTTATTTATTTAATATATTCGCCCAAATCAGTTTATAAAATTAACAATTTAAATAGAAACTATTTACAATAGTAGGGCTAGGAACCTTCTAGAAACCATAAGGCTTTTGTTTATATGGCGCGTCATCGGTGTCAAAAAAGTTATTCTATTTTAAGATAAGATTTTCATTTTCAGATAACACTATAAATTTTGGATAACATACAATTTTTCATATAACGCTATAAATTTTGGATAACACACGATTTTTCATATAACACTTTCAATTTTGGATAACACGATTTTTCATATAACACTATAAATTTTGGAGAACATGATTTTTCATATAACACTGATTTTGGATAACACGATTTTTCATATAACATTATAAATTTTGGATAACACGATTTTTCATATAACACTATAAATTTTGGAAAACATGATTTTTCATATAACACTGATTTTGGATAACACGATTTTTCATATAACATTATAAATTTTGGATAACACACGATTTTTCATATAACACCTTCAATTTTGGATAACACACGATTTTTCATATAACATTAATTATGATCCTTTGTGAGCTTACGGGCTGCTAGAGCACGTGGCCAAGGAACTTGAAATTTTTATAGTACATGCACTTAGGGGCCATTCACAAAGGATGTCCGACCAATTGATGGATTTTCAACCCTCCCCCCTACCCCCCTTGTCCCGCATTGTCCGAATTAGTGACCCCCCCACCCCCCGCCCTCCCCCCGGACATCCGCCATGCCTCGCAAAAACTCACACAACCTTGTATATATCAATAGTAAAAAACTTTTTTTACTTTTAGAACTTTTTTATAACTGTAAATGTGAACACAAAAACATATAAATTACTAATTAAAACAAAATCTAGTGTTAACCGCATAGTCAAAATGCCAATTTCACAATGGAAAGGACTGCTCAAAATAGAGGGGAAAAGAAATTTGTTTTTGAATTATTTTAAATTTCGGACATCCGGATTGCTAAACCCCCCCCCCTCCCCCCCTATGTCCGAGTTTGTCCTGATTTTCCACCCCCCCCTCGGCTCGGACATCCTTTGTGAATGGCCCCTTACATGCACATGTTTTTATACATCGCTGAATTTAAAATCTAAATATTTCGCAAATCCTAAATTATGACATCTTCTCGTGGAAATATTAGGGGGAACACAGCTATATGGAACTTTTGAAAAATTGTGCTAGTAATCTTGACGAAGCGTCGCGACTGTTTTTAAACGAGGAAAATGCTCAGAGTGGTGGTCGGTCAACAACTGTGAAGTACGCATGACATTCAACATGACATTCAACATTGTGAACTCACTCATTTCAATTACACAGAAGAAAAAATGAAAAATAAGCCATTTCTTCTCTTCCAAATCAGGGACGTAGCGAAGATGTGCTAGTTGGGGGAGTGCAATGCAGTAATTTACCTGATTTTACACTATTGTAAAAATTTACCTGAAAGATAAACCCCCTATCTTTGTGCACTGCAATGTTGTGGTGCATTTCTCCCCTGCACAGTTATCACCTAGATATTTAACCCACATCTATTTTTACAACATTTTTTCTTGCTTTTTCAATCTACTTTTTCTCATTAGAATATGTTTGGGTTCTTTTTGTTCTTCTAAATTAAAGAGTATAAGCCACATGAGAAGAACACGAGCATATACAAACCGAGTACTCCAAACCCCGAATAGAACTCTCCACTCATTTTATCAATTAGGTAGTTAAATCTAAAATACCATGATCACATTGATTAGTTACCTCTCGGCCTTCCAATAACTATAGTCAATTTTAACAAGTTTTTGTCGAAGCAGTCCATCCGCCTTTTTTATGTAGGGAAAAGGTGTAAATTGATATAATTTATATAATAAAGATAATTTTTAGCTGAACTAGAACTGCTTTTCCCTATACAATGAACATAGTAGTTATTTGTTAACTAATGTTTTTAACCTTCAATATAGTATAAGTTATTGTTTTCAAGCAATCGCCAATCGGCGGTTTTTCAAGATTGACCATTTTTTCGTGATCGCAGTAACATCAAAGATATCAGTGATATTCTTTTCAGCGGCAAGGATTATGCAATCATTCAAACGTTTTCCAGATATTTTATTGCGTGAATAACTTTTTACAATCTTCAGTAAACTGAATGATCTCTCATTTTTCACAACGGCAGGGGCGGCTGTCAGAAATAGTTTATAAAGCTCTGAAGCCAACTTGAAAAGACCATGCCCCTTGGCCACCCTAAGGGCAATGTCCGCTGCGATCGTACATGACATGGGTTTTGCCTCAAAACCTTGTGGCCGGCTGATGTTCTTCTTCCATTCGTCTGTGTTCCTTCAGCGCATATTTAAAGAAAACGGACAATTCGCTGTGTAATGCTGGGCTTTGTTCCTGGTATTTCTGGATGCAATACCTTTAGGAACGGATTAAAAGTGTTCTTAAGACCAATTTGTTTCTGCATTAATCCTCGTTTTTGTTTGCCCAAAAATCACAAAAAGTCACATACTTAGGTTAACATCAAGTCTCAAGACGTTGTTCACTGTGTAATAAATAATGCATAAAGATTACACACGTGTAATATAGAGAACAGTAATGCTAAAACAATGCCCTCGTAACGGCTCATTCAACCTAAACTATTCAACAATGTTACAAATCTACGAGACAATTCTTTAGTAGTTTAAATATTAGACGAATATTGCGTATATATCGCCATATCGGCCATTTGTGTAGAATTATTAACGAACTACTACCACACAATACACATCACATATGTGTATCACACATACACAGACGTTCAAAATTTACATCTGGATATCATATCCCTGTTGCTGTATTAATCTAAGCAAACAAATAATTCTATGTATTTCAAATACACTGTATTATTATCAAAAAGTAGATGAAATTAATATAATTTCTTGCACGTACCAAGCTTGACCTTGTGTAAAGAGCCAAAACCGGAAGCGCATATTACTTAGCGAAAAGATTCTGGGTTTTTTTCCGATGGAAATAGTAAAATAGACAACATATTCTTTTCGTAAAATAAAGCCTGGCTACATTGAAAAAACCATACCTAATTTTAGTGTGCAGTGATAACTAATTTGTGCAGTGATAAAACTAAAATGTGCAGTGATAAAATGTAAAATGTGCAGTGATAAAATTTGCTGTGATAAGTTGTTAACAATTAACACGAAAATCCAGGCAATGAGCAGAAGAACTGAGCTAAAAATTCGTCTTGACACTCCTTGACAGTATTAATCAAAACATTTTGAATGAGAACAATTTGAATGAAATTGAAATGATAGCTGCCAAATCATCGAACGTGCACTAATATTATACTTCAGGTTTATCAGATGAACAAAGTCTCGCACCAAAGGTTCCTTTATGAGTCTGGATGATAAAATGAATGATACTTATCTTTTTGTAATTAGTGTGTAATCTTCAGAATTCTATAGAATGTCTTCGCACATTGCATAAAATCCCCTTTTAGAGAGCCTAGATTACAAAATTTTCTGTGGGTGCATGCCCTTGGAACTCCTCTAGAGGTTTGTCCTAAGCTGTCTAAGCTGCCTCTCATTTGCCAATACGAAAATATTTCTTTCTTGCAAGTATGTGATTATGAAACTATGCCGTCACAGATAGTTGAAACTATAGGTGCTGTCAAAGGGGGCAATTTTTCCTGGAGCCTTAGTTAAAGGAGGGCCGAAATAAAGAATTATGTAAAATATACATAGATATAACTGTCAAAAGACTTCCAGAATGCAGGATTTGACCATTTCTGGGACCTCAGATTTTAAAATTTTCCTGGGGAGAATGCCCCGGCCCCCCTAGTGATAGTGTTAGAAGATGGAATCATGTGGGGCACCAAGTCAAATTTGGCCCTGGGTACCCAAATATCCCTGGGCAACCCTGCGTGTTGTGTTGTGTTGTGTTGTGTTGTGTTGTGTTGTGTAGTGTATGTTGGTTTTTGGCATTTTTCAATATCAATTGTAGCCTGTTTTGTGCATAGTAGTTACAGATTGTGTGTGTTCAGTGTGTTCAGAAATTTTCAGGGCGTGCTTCTGCTCGGCTAAACTTTGCGCAAAAATGTGCAGTGATAAAAAATTCTTAAAATTAGGTATGGAAAAAACGGAAACCTCTGAACGTATCAACGTATGAAGCCATAAAGAATTAAAACCTCATGTATTTTCCGCATTTCAATCCTCTATTATTTGCCTGTTATTGTTATGGGTTTTCAAGAATTTTTACCTGATTTATTATAATGCCAGTTTTTCATGGATTTACCTGAAATTTTCAAATCGTCTTAGTTGGGGGGTGTCACACCCCCCCACACCCCCCCGGTCGCTACGTCCCTGTTCCAAATGAATTAGAAAGAAAGAAATCATACAGTTCGTATTAACTAATTAATACTTTTATGTTTTATTGCACACAAAGCAACAAACGCGCCAGAGTTTATTTTAACATGCAGTTCTACACAAAATGTGCAGTTCTAAATCCATTTGTGCAGTCCTTAAAACTCAAATGTGCAGTCACCAAACTAACAAAAATAGCCTTAATTAAAACAGTCGTCTCATTTACTCGTTACCTTTGTGGATGCTCCAGAAAATTCCAGAATTGCTGTCATTAATTGAGCATCAAAAATATAAACGTTTTCTTGGGGAGGACTCCAGACCTCCTATTTCCCTCACAAATCACTTACGTGCTGGCGTAATGGAAAAGAAAGTAAAATTGGGGCGAGCGAAGCTTCCCAAAAGAGATTAGAGTGGGAGAACCTAATATTCATAACAATCTTAAATTTGCATTTGAGGCAGCTACCGGGGGTAATTGTTTATAGGTTAATGTTACTGGCGCGTTTGTTGGTTCGTGTGCAATAAAACATAAAGTTATTAATGAGTTAATACGAACTGTATGATTTCTTTCTTTCTAATTCATTTGGAAGAGAAGAAATGGCTATATTTTTCATTTTTACTTCTGAGTAATTGAAATGAGTGAGTTCACACCATATCGAATATCATGTTGAATGTCATGTTGAATCTCATGCGTACTTCACAGTGGTTGTCCGACCATCACTCTGAGCATTTTCCTCGTTTAATAGCAATCGCGACGCTTCGTCAAGATTACTAGCACAATTTTTCAAAAGTTCCCTATAGCTGTATTCCCACTAATATTTCCACGAGAGGATGTCATAATTTAGGATTTGCGAAATATTTAGATTTTAAATTCAGCGATGTATAAAAACATGTGCATGTACTATAAAAATTTCAAGTTCCTTGCCCACATAAGCTCGCAAAGGATCATAATTAAAGTTATATGAAAATTCGTGTGTTATCCAAAATTGAAAGTGTTATATGAAAAATCGTGTGTTATCCAAAATTGAAAGTGTTATATGAAAAATCGTGTGTTATCCAAAATTTATAGCGTTATATGAAAAGTTGTGTGTTATCCGAAATTTATAGCGTTATATGAAAAGTTGTGTGTTATCCGAAATTTATAGCGTTATATGAAAAGTCGTGTGTTATCCGAAATTTATAGCGTTATATGAAAAGTCGTGTGTTATCCGAAATTTATAGCGTTATATGAAAAGTCGTGTGTTATCCAAAATTTACAGCGTTATGGTGATCGCTAGATAGTATACTTCAAAATAAGGTTTCCGTTTTTATAACGTAGAAAAAACTATCCTAACACAAAACTAAACCCTAACCCTAATACTAACCCTTACCCTAACCCTAACCCTAACCTAAGCTAACCAAAACCCTAACCTAACCCTAACTTATTTTAAAAATTGATATAAAAACGGAAACCTTATTTTGAAGTATACTATCTAGCAATTACCACAGCGTTATATGAAAAATCGTATGTTATCCAAAATTTACAGCGTTATATGAATAATTGTGTGTTATCCAAAATTTATATTGTTATAAGAAAATGAAAATCTTATCTTAAAATAGAATAACATTTTTGACACCGATGACGCGCCATATGTTTAAGGTCCCTAGTTACAATTCAAATAATATAATATTAAAAGTTAATACCAGTCCAATTGTTTTCAAAGGAATTACGGTCATATATTAACAATAAGGAAAGTGCGTAAAAGATATATCAGACTATAACAATTATTTGGCCTTTCACTTTGTGCCAAGAATTCTACTTATTTAAATTTGACAGAAGAAAATATATTTTCATTGTAGATTTAAATATTGGAAGAGATCTAATTTGCTTATATTGCGTCGGAAGATTATTCCACCACATCGATGCCGTTATTACCGAGCGTGTGTTTTTTGTAATTTGTTCTAGTACAACTTTTGTGGAGCAATGATGCGTTTCTTGTGTTGTAATTATGGATTTCTTTGTTAGTTAAAAAATATTTATCAAAAATTTCTGGAAGATTTTGTAGATGAAAATATCGGAACATAAATAGACTTGTTAAGAAGTCATTCAATTTATACAAGTTTAGTATTTTAAGGTCATTAAAAATTGGTTCGGTATGGTCAAAATAGGATTTGAAGGTCATTAATCTTACTATCTTTTTCTGGATATTTACTAATTTTTGAATGTGGGATTTGTAAGCGTTACCCCAAACTAAATTACAGTATATAAGATATGGATAGACCAATGCGTAATAGATCAGTTTTAAGGAATTTAGGTTTGTAAAATGTCGTATTCTGGATATAATAGCTGTACATTTGATAATTTTTTTTGAAATAAGATCTATATGATCGCACCATGATAAAAATTCATCTATAACAATCCCTAAAAACGTAGTTTTTTTTACTTGTTTTATAGTTTCACTATTTATAGAAATTCTTAAATCACATTTAGGTTTCTTATTTTTTGATCTGAAAAGGATCAGCTTGGTTTTCGCAGTGTTTATAGATAATTTATTAACATTCAACCAATCTGTAATTTTGTTCATTTCAACTTGAATAGTTTCGTTTAAAGTTTTGAGACAAACATCGCTATACAGTATGTTAGTGTCATC